ATGTGTGTGTGTGTGTGTGTGTGTGTGTGTGTGTGTATGTGTGTATGTGTTTGTATAGACGGAAAAATGGAAGGATGGTTGTCTGTCTATCTGTCTGTCTTTCTGTATGTGTGCTGCTGTTGTTTGTGGGAGGCGGGACAGCCAGAAGGGGTGGTTGGGGGAGGGGGGTGTTAAACGTATACGCTAATAGAGAGTGTATGTGCTCATGTGTCAGTGTGTGTATGTGTGTGTGTGTGTGTTTGTGAGTGTGTGTATTTGACATTGTGCATGTTTTTGAGTGAGTATGTTTGAGTGAGAGAGTGTGTGTGTGTGTGTGTGTGTGTGTGTGTTTCTATGTATATGTTTGAGCGAATGTGCATGCGTGTGAATGCGCGCGCGTGTGTAAGCGTGTGTGGTTGTGCGTGTTGCACATGTGTGTGTTATAATTTGAATGAGGTGGCACACGTATAGCTATCGCATTCACGGTCTCGCTAATTTGATTCTGCCCCTTTTGTTTCTGCTCAATAAAATTATTATTATCCTAATGTGCTTTTAAGCGAGAGGCATTTCATTTTTATCGTTGGTAGCCCTGTCAAACTGAAGGCTAAGAAAAAACATGGTTTGCTCTTCTCTTGTTTTTCAAAATGCCTTTTTTTTAGCTTTTCTCTTTTTCTGTAAAAAGCATTAATTGTTCTTAATTACATGATTTCACTAAATTGTTTGAGACACACTTTACAACAACTCCTTAAGTGGTGTACGATACATTATGTAGACAGACAGACACACAGACAGACAGACTGTTATGTAAGGGAAATAATAAGACCTGCTTGTGGTTCATTCCCTTAGCAGGACATTTGCTTCGTTGGTCCAAAGAGGGCAATCCGCGGCTTGTGATCTGTCACCAGGATGAAACGTCGACTGTAGAGGAACTGGTGGAACTTGTTGAGACCAAAGATGATAGCCAGGGCCTCCTTCTGGGTTTGGTTGTATCTTCTCTGGGTCTGCGTTGCCGTGCGCTGATGTCTTGCGATACTCTATGGAGTAGTCGTATTGGCTCAGAGTGAGAGCCCATCTGGCCAGTCGATTTGCTGCCAGAGCTTGAATTGGCCTAAGAAAGATCTCAAGCTGGACTCGTTGGAAGGTGCTGGCATCTTCATGATGGCATCTGTTTTTGGACCTTTAGCAATACCGTTCTTGGAAAGGTAGTGTCCCAGGTACTCTACAAAAGGCTGAGCAAAGGAGCACTTCTCCAACGGGCAGTGTAGTCCCTTGTCTTGTAGACGCTGGAGCAGGCCTCGGAGGTTCTGCAGGTGTTCCGCCGCATTGTTACCGCTGACAAGGATGTCGTCCAGGTAGACGGCAACACCAGGCAGGTCTTGAGTTAAATGGTCCATGATTTCTTGGAAATAACCGAGAGCAGAGGTTATTCCAAACGGCAGGCGTTTCTGTAGCAGGACGCCTTTGTGAGTGCTGAGTGCAAGCTTATTCTGCGACTCTGGGCCAAGGCAGATCTGATTGTATGCGTCAGCGAGGTCAATCTTCGTGAAACAGTGGCCTCGACCCAGTCTCCGCATGAGATCCTCCGGCTGTGGCATCGGGTGACGATGTGTCTCCAGTTGCTGGTTCACAGTGACAGAGTAGTCACCGCAGACTCTGATACTGCTCTGACCTTGTGGAGACTTCTTCTTGATAGGTACCACTGGCGTACCATATGAGTTGAACTGGACTGGCTCCCAGATACCTCTGTTGATGCCGGCTTTAATGGCACTATCCAGGTCTTCCTGTACTGCAGTAGGGACTGGACGAGGCTTGTGAAAAACTGACTGGACGTCTGGCTTGAATTGGACCTCCAGCTCGAAGTCCTTGAGTGTCCCCAGCTCTTTCTTGAGCAAGTCTGGGAACTCCTGACATAGTTGATGGCAGGAGCTCTGCAGGGAAGTATCAGGCTTGATGTCCTGGAAGACCTTGTTGACTTTGTTGTAAAGGAGCTGGTCCAGGGATAGACCTAGGCTTCTGCATGATTCTCGACCGAGGAGGTTCAGCTGCAGACGGGTGACGACGAACTTTTGTTGTTTGGGTTTGTCGTCCTTAGCCAGCGTAGTCGGAGCTGTGATGACTCCGAGGACAGGAAGGTCTTGGTCAGAGGCACACCGGTAGTGGCTGCTTGTTGGTGCCATCTTGGGGCTGTTGAGCAGGCGCCATGTGCTCAAGGAGATGAAATTATCTCAAGAGCCGGTGTCGACCTCTAGTTGGACCGGATGCCCCGATATGAAGCAATCTTGTGTAATGGGCTTCCTGCTTGAAGCCTTGACCGTCTTCACAATCGTGACACGCTGGCTTTTCTTCTTACGGCATGCCGCCTCAATGTGGCCCTTGATGTTGCAAAAACGGTATGTGGCAGTGGCAAAACGACAGCTATCAGATGTATGGACTCCGTCACATCTGGTGGAGCGTTTCTGTTGCGGCCCTTTCTTCTCGTGATGAGGCTTGTGTTAAAGTGTTGTCTGCTGCTTAGGCCAGAACGGCTTTCCTGGCGTTCGTCTCTGAGACTGCCCGACTTTGTGGACGGCCGTGTCCTGAGACAATGTCTCTTTTGCGGCCTTTGAATCCTCCTCTGCCTCTGCTTCAAATTCGATGGCACGAGCAAAGGTCAGCTCGTCGTCCTTAACTTTAAAGAGGGCTTTAATGGTTGCCTCATTGTGGATGGAGTAGACGAACTGAGTCCTCATGGCTTCATCCAGCGGGTCACTAATGGAGGTAAAGTCGCACGTGGCAGCTTCTTGCCTGATTCGGGCTGCCAGTTCGTGGACGGTCTCCCCTGGCTTCCTCTCTGTGTTGGTCCAGAACCTGAACCGTTCTCGCACTATGAAGCGTTTAGGGTTGTATTGATCTGTCGTGTGGGCTGCGATCTCCGTCATTGACAGACTGTTGATGTCCCTTGGTGGCGACTGTTGCTGGGACAGATTCATCAGCAGTTTGTAGACGACATTGGACTGGTTTGTGAGGAATATTTCTGCACGCCGGTCGTCTGGAATAGCGTTAGCCTTAGTGAAGGTTTCGAATCTGGACCAGTAATCCGACAAGAGCTCGATAGAGGGGTCAAATTCTCCAAACTTCGTGCTGATAACGGTATTCTTCTGTTGGACTATGGCCAGTAACACCTCCATCTGCTGCTGCTGTTGACTCATCTGCTCTCGCAGCAGTTTGATCAACTCATCCTGGGACTGTGAGCGAGACAGACGACTGGTCTCTGACTGGCAGCAGCTTGTTACGTCGCTAAAATTATGTTTTACGGCTCACGCTTTCTCGGTGTTCTGTTCTTAAAAGAACAGTGAACAGCACGAGACGTTGGTCGGCCTTTTTACACGTTTTTACTTTTCTCGTTGTTTTGTCTAAGAAGGACAGGAAACAAAACAAGAAGCCAGGGGAGACAGTCCACGAACTGGCAGCCCGAATCTTTACAACACACTTTACAACAACCCCTTAAGTGGTGTACGATACATTATGTAGACAGACAGACAGACAGACAGACAGACAGACAGACAGACAGATGATGGTATCATTCGGGCTGATCCAACAAGCAAATTTTCACCTAGCATATTTGTACCAGAAGCGCATCGGTGTGTGGACCGAGCATTCTACATTGATTTATGAGTGTGCATTGCCATTAACGGTAATAAGTTAATGCTGCCTCCCAGATATTTGCACAGATGAAAACTGCTAATTGATTTTCATATTACGTAGACGCATGAAGCTATCCGATTATAATGTGTACAAATACAGCGGGACACAGTCACTAAGAATGCCGTTAATACATTTAATCGCTTATTAATTTATTATACATTGTGATTTTCTTATATAGTTCTTCTTTAGTAGGTGCATGTAAGATGTATAATATATGATATTCCTTTGGGCGCGTAATTTACTTGTTTTTCTCTGTGCCGGTTGAGAGTTTGCCCGTGTGCACATGCATAGCGTTTTAAAGAAGCAAAAGAGTTTTTGACATTATGTTGAAGTCTACATAGATTGACTGGACTGCTCAGAACAATAACAACAACAACAACAACAACAACAGCAACAGCAACAACAACAGCAATAACGACGACGACGACGATGACAACCACTACCACAACAACAACAACAATAATAATAATAATAATAATAATAATAATAATAATAATGATAATAATGTTAATAATCATTAATATGATGATGATAATA